AGGCTTTGTTGTTTTTTGTTTACAGTTTGAAGGATTTGTTGTTTTTTGTTTACAGTTTGAAGGCTTTGTTGTTTTTTGTTTACAGTTTGTGATGGGTTGATCTGCATCTCTGATGGTTTGGGATCAGAACTGAAAAGTCAAAGTTCTTCGGCTCTGAGAAAGATTTGAGAACTGACTGAGGAAGAGGATGGCGCAGGATGAAGCTGCTGTAAACAACAAAACAATCCCAACATGAAAGATTATTAAAACAACAACAGGAATTGAGAGAAAAGTTGTTCTGAAATGTTTTTATTTTAGGGTTGCACTTTAAAATAGTTTGGATTTTAATTAAAAAAAACAGCAGTTTAGAGCACTTTATTCTTCTTATGTTTACCTCGATAATAAATACTGATAAATAAACAACAACAGTTTCAGAGTTTGAAGGAACACATGTCTGACTCATAGTGTTTGTTTTTATGAAACAAAAACTGATCAGATTAAGAAAATGCCCTAATATCTGATTGATATTAATCCATATTGCTTTCAGAATAAAACTATTTATTTTACCGTAGCATATTCCAGGATTAATGAATTAAATTCAGAGAATTAATTTAAAGTTTTTATTTTAAAAATGTCTTGTGTTTCATGGCTCATGTTCTCCTGTGTCAGGTTTTTATTTGTGTTATTTGTCACAAATTTAAAGACACAATGGATAAAATTAATTTTTTATAGTGTTTTCTCCTCAGATGTTTTATTCCAGTTTTTCTTGTTAAAAGTAACGAACTCTCAGTTAAAAACCACCTCAGCTTGATCTCAGGAGGAGTCGGCGTTTTTCCTGCCGAGTCATCATTAATGTTCTGTAAATCTCAAACGTTTGATTAAAGCTGATCAATTGGCTGATCGTCAGAACATTTTAATGTCCAGGTTATCGACTTCAGCAACATATTAGCTGAGAGGCTCCTCGACATGTGGTCTGTGGACCACCTGCTGGTCCTGAAGGGACCAAACCAGAACCTAAACCTGAATCCTGAATAAAAACGCCCACTGATATCAAACTGTAGATGATGATGATAATGATTTTTATTATTATTATATTATTATTACAGTAGTATTAGATAAAAATAAGTCATAAAGCACATAATATTTTGGTCTTGGTCAGTTATTTAATTTTTATTAAAGCTTCTGCCTTTTTTACCTTTAATTTTTAGCCTTAATTTATTTTTAAACAGTCAGAAACCCTTTTAATTTTTTTTTTTTTTTTTTTAAACTGCAAGAAAAGTAGGTAACTAAATTTGGAGCTTTCCTAAATTAAAGTAATTAAGTTGTATTTTATTAATGTTTTTCCCAAACACAATTAATTCAGTTTTATTGAAAATGAACTGATTGAGACTGAGGGTGATTTTTTTTTTTTTTTTTTTGGTTTGTTTGTTTGTTAATTTTCTGAATTTGGTAATAATAATGATAATAAAAGTTTTTTTATATATATATTTGTGTTTGTCATTTAATGAAATGATAACTGTTTGTTCAGCGTTGACTATATTTTTTATTTGTTCTGGGTTTTACTTGATCATAAAATCTGCTGAGAAGCTCCTCACCGTTTGGTCTGTGGACCATCATAATTTACATATTTAGTCTTTATAAAATATATTTTAAACAATACGATTTTTGTTACTAGTTCAGTTTCTAATCTTTACATCATTTGCTGCTTCATGGATCTTATTTCTCTTTTTTTTTTTTCAGACGTAAATTAAATTATTAATGATTTAGTTTTTAGAACATTTCTCTGCGGAAGAATAAAATATCCCAACATAAATGAAAACCTGTTAAATGGCGCCCCCTGCTGGTTAAACTCTGATTTCTGAAATGGGATTTTCTGTCTGAAGATTGCGCAGAAGAAAAAAACATTGAAAAATAAACGTACTGGGGGTTCATTTGTACAATAAAACGTGATCAGATCATGTGAGGAAGACTTTAACATAATTAAAGAAACAAAAAGTCGTAACAATAGAAAAATAAATAAATAAATGTGATTTTTTTTTGCGTGAATATCATCATTAGATCAGTACAGGACATGGATGAGGACAGCAGGACATGTATAAGGACAGCAGGACAGTGGTGATATGTGCTGTAGGGGTGACAAATAGCTTCAAGGTGAAGGTGGGAGTGCATCAAGGATCTGCTCTGAGCCCCTTCTTGTTTGCTCTGGTGATGGACCGACTAATAGATGAGGTCAGGCAGGAATCCCCGCAGACTATGATGTTTGCAGATGACATTGTGATCTGTCCAGGAAAATGGGGAGTGTGGTAAAGAAGTGAAAAAGAGAGTCCAGGCAGGATGGAGTGGCTGGAAAAAAAGTTTCAGGAGTGATTTGTGACAAAAGGGTGTCAGCAAAGGTCAAAGAAAAGGTTTACAAAACAATGGTGAGACCAGCTATGATGTATGGTCTGGAGACAGTGGCAACGACAACACGACAGGAGAAAGAACTGGAAGTAGCAGAAATGAAGATGCTGAGGTTCTCCTTAGGAGTGACAAGGATGGAGAAGATTATGAATGAGATCATCAGAGGTACAGCACAGGTTGAACAACTGGGAGATAAAGTTAGAGAGACTGAGATGGTTTGGACATGTCCAGAGGAGGGACAGTGGGTATATTACCATACCATACCAGTTTATTTCTAAAGCACTTAAAATACAACAAGCAGCCGTCCGAAGTGCTGTACAAAATTAAAAACAAACAAAAAACAGTAAAACAACAAAAACACCTAAAAATATATTTAAAAAATATATATTTAAAAACCCCTCCCTGGGCTGCCACCTTACCGTGGTGGAGGGGTTTGAATGTCCCAATGATCCTAGGAGCTATGTTGTCTGGGGCTTCACGCTGAGGATCAGACCGCCAGGGTCCCCGCCCTCGGCCACCACCCATCCCACATTGCACCCGACCCCTTTGGCCCCTCCCACAGGTGGTGAGCCCATGGGAAGGTGGACCCACGTCTCCTCTTCGGGCTGTGCCTGGCCGAGCTCCATGGGTAAAAGCCTGGTCACCAGGCGCTCGCTCGTGTGCCCCACCTCCAGGCCTGGCTCCAGAGTAGGGCCCCGGTGACCCACGTCCGGGCGAGGGAACATCAAGTCCATTTCTTTTTCTCATCATACGGGTGTTTGGGCTGCACTTTGTCTGGTCCCTCACCTAGGACCTGTCTGCCTTGGGTGACCCTACTAGGGGGTACTGAAAAGTAATGCCTTGACCCCGGATAAGCGAAAGAAAATGGATGGATGGATGGATGGATATATTTAAAAAATAATCAGAACATCATAAGTAAAAGATATTATAGAAGGATGTTAGACATGCAGCTGTCAGGAAAAAGACAAAGAGGATGGTCAAAGAGGAGATATATGGTTGCAGTCAGAGAGGACATGGAGGTAGCTGAAGTGAGGACAGAGGACACAGAGGACAGAGTGAGATGGAGGAGGATTACTCGCTATGGTGACTCCTGAAGAGGCAAGAGCCAAAAGAAGAAGAAGAAGGTTGGGAAGTTCATCAGTTTACTCAGTGTGAATTAGTGCTTAGTTCCTAACAGGGCGGTGGGTCAAGGAGTCCATCAGTGGTCAGTTCACAGTTCATTCACGCAGAAACTGACCTGATCCTTGCATCCTTGACAGACAGATAGACAGCATCCTTGTTGGATGCTGTCTATCATGGTGCACTAAGATTCATAACTGGCTGTGATTATCGTACCCACCACTGCACACTGCACATTGGTTAACTGGACATCATTAACTTCACGCAGACTCTCTCACTGGTATATTTTCATCTTTAAATCACTTCTTGGTCTGTTGCCTTCATACATCTCCTCCTACATGTCTCTGCGTGAGTGCAGCTACGGAGTGCGCTCTCAGGACATTATTACCTGCAGTGTTCCCTCAATGAGGACTGAACTAGGCAAAAGGGCCTTCTCCTACTCCGCTCCTGTTTCCTGGAACATCTTACAAAAAAATTTGAAGCTCTCGACCTTGACCTCTCTAAGTGGCTTTAAGAATCTGTTGGACACCTGGCAGGGTCCAATGCTGACATGTTCCTGTTTTTAGTTTTCTACATTTGTCTTGGAATCTAGCTGTTTTTTGTTTTGTTACCTTTTCCTTTTAGCCATCCTATTTGTTAAAAAAAAAAAAAAAAACTGTAGTATGCTTTTTTATAACTGTTTATTGTTGTTGCTGTTGTCCATTGTTGTCATCTTTCTTTGTTGAAATCAAGTCTCTCTTGTAAATGAGTCCTCGAGGCTCAATGGGATTTACCTGTATAAATAAAGGTTGATTGATTGATTGATTGATTGATTGTTTTAACATTAGTCAGTTCAGAATGTAGATGGTGGCCTGAGATTTAAAAGTGTCAGCAGGCAGTGCAAGTGTGAATACAACAAAGTATAAAAATAGAGCTTAAACAGAGTTAACTACGGTAAATCCGCTGAATCTTGTTTTAACAGTTAAAACAAACAGTTAAGTGATTGATGTTGTCTGTTACGCAAAGAAAATAAACAAATGAAATGAATGTTAAATGTTTCAGACACACAACAGAGTTTTTTAATAGGAAAAGTGCAGTTTGGTCTGATCAGTCTGGTTAGATATTTTACAGTAAATAAATAAATAAATACAATTTAAATGTGTTTTTTCACATAATATTTTCTTATTGAGACTGGGCGGTTAGGTTTTTTTTTTTTCCACGCTTCACATTTCTCACCAGCAGGTGGCGGAAACGCTGCCGAATTGTTCACAAACGTCAAACCAAACCAACGAAGAAGAACATCACTTCCGGTCAGGAAGAGGGGGGGAAAAAACGGCAGAAAATCTCCGTCAGTTAGCGTCTAGTGTTTATTTTCTGTTTTTTATAAACAACAGCGTTTTTATTTACATTTGTCTTTTTTTTGTGAATCGTCACACAGTTTCGTGTTTTATCTGAAACTGCCCACCGTTTATTTGAGGTGAGTCTCACCGCTTGTTTTGTATACGCTAATTGATGCTAACCGTTAGCGGCTGTCGCCATTATAACAAAAACGAAACAAAATAATATCAACGCCATTGAATTTTTTTTATTCAGTTTCAACTGACGGATGCCTCTGGAAAATACAGATGGGTCAATTTTTATTAAATAGTGAAATATTGGCAAGGTTAGCATTCATTGATTTAACCAGGCCCGTTTATCTCTGCGTTTTGTCAGAAATATTTCTCTTACACAATAAAAAAAAAAAAAGGTAATATGGTACGAAAGACTTTGACATACTGTTTGTTTTCATTTTATTTCTTATCTGAAAGAATGAAGTCAAGCTATTTCCTGCTTTACTTTATTTTTAATTCAGGCCGCAACACATTCCAGTTACTGTCCAGGATTTTATACCTGGATTATTGAGCATGAACTCTGGTATTTCAGTTACAGTTCAACACTAGAGGTTCTGACGATGAGGATAACAGGTGAAGAGTCTCGGGTATCGTTTTGTCTTAAGGTGTCCAACAGGATGAGGTTGCCTTGGGAACAGGACTGCAGGCGGGCCAATCCAGAACCAGTCGCCTCTTCGTCTGTAGCCATTGGATTGAGAACTTAATGTGGTTTTACTTTTTGTGAAAAATGTTCAAATATCCCTGGAAAAATATGTGGTCTTTGCAGGCATTGAATGTTTCTGCTAAAAGTTCTGCATTAGTACTGCCCCAGTTCTGAGCACAGAACCATCACAAAATTTGAATTTTAAACTTGCCTTTCTTTGTACAGCCTGGCAGAGCCAGAGCATGATGCCACCACTTCCGTACCTAACACTTAGTGAAACATTCTTGAAGTTTATTTTTCTCTCATTGGACCATTAAAACGTTCCTTCAGAAGGTTTCGTCTTTGTTCATGTGGCTGAGTGTTTAGAGCTGGAGCTTTGTTCTTGGAGTGGCCGCCTCTCTGTTTATCCAGACCATCTCAGAATCAGGCATTTGGACCTGTTAACAATACCACAGGGTCAGACTAATTACTCCAAATTTTTCAAAAGCTCACTATGTCAACAAACTACAGCAAATTAAAAACAAGATGTAATAAAGAATTTAAAACTGGAGTTAATTTGTTGATTTTTTTTTTTTTTTATCCAAATGAATAAAGTCCAGGTTAAACGGCTTCAAAGCAGAGGGACTAATGGACCTGGGACAGCGATGGGTTTTCATTCTGTGCAGGCTGTACTGTTTGGATGTTCCTCTTCATCTTTGGTTCAATTCATTTAACAAAGATCTGGAATCCTGATCCACTTGATCCAGGTTTCCACTGGTGGAAATGGTTCAACTCAGAGGGAACACAGAGATGTTGGCACCGCTTCTGGACTGGGTCATTCAGGAAAGTTTAAAGAGATGTTTTTGAACGCAGCTCTGGATTAAAGGACCCAACAAAGTAATCCCCAGTCTATATGGTTCTGTGGGTCCATGTGGATCATCTGTTGAAATATGACAAGGAATCAAGAAGCGTTGGTTTTAACAACTTTAATGTTTCTTTAAGACATCTTGGCTTTATACTGTTAAAGGTAAACACAAGAACCCCTGTGTGTTTTTTTGTACTTTCTGGTTTAGTTTTAGAATGATTTATTTATTTAAAATTTTGTTTCCTTTTCAGAACCCAACCTTTAAGTGAAGGTGTTTAGATGTTTTGGTTCTTCTTCCTTCCAGAACAGCTGATCCTCCTTAGGGTTCACAGTTTAAATGTCTTGTCTTCCCTGACATTTCTGTCCACAGGAAACGCTCCCAGCGTTTCTCCACAGGGTCCAGTCATGTCTCAAAACTACCCGTACAGACAGGCGCCGGCGGACCCCGATCCCCAGTCAGATCCACGGCATTACAGCTCTGCAGCCAGCGAGGACTTTTACCGACGTCCTCAGGAATCTTTCTCCTCATCCTCCAGGAGCTTGGCAGCGCCACACCCGACTCAGGGTCCTCAGGATAGCGTCCTCAGCCTCCTGGCAAGCTGTGGTTTGGAACCTGGAGATCTGGCAGTTCTCGCCAAACTGCCTGAAGATGTTTTGACCATTGAGTCTCTGCCACACCTTATCAAACAGATGAAAGGCAAGAAGGGAACGGTTAAACCTTTTCCTGCCAGACCTCCTACTCCCCCTCCTTCCTCTTCCTCCTCTCGCTCCTTTAGCTCCACCCACAGACCCTCTGCAAGCCCCGCCTCCTTAGACTGGGATAAACTCCGCCAGCAACCGGTACAGTACCCACTCCACCTGATCCCACCTGCTGCCCCTCAATTGGAAACTCGTTCAGACCGCTGGGGGGCTCACAGCTCTGTCCGATCATCATCTTCATCAGTCAGACCTGTGCAGGACACTGACCTCAGGCCACGCCTCGCAAACTATGGTAAGGCCGCTTCTTCTTGCAGCTCAGTGGAACTCAACAGATCTCGTCCTCCTCGTTTCTTGGAAACTGGAAAAACTGATTATAGATCAGTTCCTCCCCTTGACGAGCGCCCCCGCAGCTCTGGGTTGCCCAGTGCTGACCCGGTACCCGTTCCTGTGCCCTCTAAGCAACAAGCTCTGGACTTCCACGGATCGGTGCCATCGATGTACCCATATTCATGCGCTCTGTGTGACATCACAGTGCTGTCGGAAAAGGTAAGTTCACCTGTTCTCAAGACTTTTTGCAGGTGAGTGGGGGGTGGGATTGTATGGGGTGCGTGGTCTGATGGAAGGTGAGTTGTCTGCAAGAAGTACAGTGATGGACTCACTTTCTGTTTGTGTTCCAGGCTTGGCAGGATCACGTCAACAAGTCCATTCACGCAGATGGACAGCTCAAGCTGCTACAGCAGTGAGTTTCTCTCACACTCACACACACAGTGTTCTGTTGTTCAGTGTTCTCATTACTTCCTCTCTTTTCCAGGTTTCCAAATTGGGATTGTCGCGTTAAAAGCTCCAGCAGGTCAGTAACGTTTATTATCATTGTCCATTAAATCTGATTTTAGTAAATTGACACTTTTTCCACATCATTAGAGGTAACACCCTTAAAGCATCTGTAAAGATTCAGATCTATGAACCAGAACTCCTGTTCAAGACATTAGTTTTTTTTAGTTTACTTCAAATACTCCAGAATTTACTTAAATCTTTTAAAGTGGTTAGGAACAACAGTTCTTTAAACATTTTGATGGTCTTTCAGAGGCTTTCTTCCAGCTTTGGCTGCATCAGACACTGATGTTACCCAAACAGGTGCTTTTACATGTGACTGGCTGCTGATGGCATTTAAAACGGTTAAAATAAAAAACTAAAAAACATTGGTACAAACAGTAGATTGATGCGTTTTTTTTAGAAAAACTCCCTTGAAGACAAGTCTATGCATGAGGCTAGTAATTAGATGCAGTGTTTTGAATGAAACATTTTAACTATTTTATATATATTGGGCGGCTGTGGCAGAGTGGTTAGAGCAGTCGTCCTCCAATGCAAGAGTTGGGGGTTTGAATCCACCAGCAGTCGCATGTCGAAGTGTCCTTGGGCAAGACACTGAATCCCTCATTGCCTCTGATGTGTGTCCCATCGGTGTATGAATGTGATCTCAAAGCACTGATTAGTCTCTTTAGAATGATTTGTTCAATTAGCTTTGTAGAGATCTAGTAGAGTCTATGAATGTATGGGTAAATGAGGACACAGATTGTAGTGTAAAGCGCTTTGAGTATCTGGATAAGATAGAAAAGTGCTCTATAAGTGCAGTCCATTTATAAATAAACTGAATTGAATTAAATTGTTAAAGAACATCCAGAATGTTGGATGAAAACCTCTGAAGCGCTGTGTGCGCGTCCTCACGCACCATTATGCTACCCACTTCAAGAAAATATTAATTCCCATCCCCATCTTACTGACACGTACACGTATGGGACTCATGGGAAACGTGCAGTACTTCATGTATGACTGAGTTGATTCAGAGTAAAAGACAAAACAGGAGAATGATGACAAAACGTTTTGGGTCAAATTGTTATGGTCAGGTTAACCAAACATGAACCGCTCTAGTTTGCAGCCGAGTGTGAAGCAGCTGGGATGAGAATCAGCACCCCTAAATCAGAAGCCATGGTCCTCAGTTGGAAAAGGGTGGACTTTCCCCTCCGGGTTGGAAGTGAGGTGCTGCTTCAAGTGGAGGAGTTCAAGTATTTCTGGGTTTTGTTCATGAATGTGGGAAGAGTGGAATGTGAGATTTACAGACAGGTTGGTGCAACTTCTACAGTATTATGGACTCTGGATCGGTCCATTGTAGTGAAGATGAAGCTGAACTGCAAGAAGGAAGCTCTCTGCTTAACGGTCGCTTACGTTCCGACCCTCACATATGGTCAGTAATTCTGGATAGTGACTGAAAGAACGGGATTTTGGATACATGCGGTCAAAATGTGTTTTCTCTACAGGGTAGCTGGACTCTCCTTAGAGATAGGGTGAGTAGGTCAGTAATCTGGGAGAGGCTCAGGAGTAGAGCTGCTGCTCCTCCACATCAAGAGGAGCCAGCTGCGGTGGTTCAGACATCTGGTAAGGATGCCCCCGATTGCCTTCCCAAGGTGATTTTTTGGGCATGTCCAACTGGGAGGAGACCCCGGGGAAGACCCAGGACATGTTGGCGAGACTATAGCCCCTACTCCACGGTTTCAACACCACACCATTTATGGAACCACCTCATCTGTGGTTCCAAGCGGACTGCTTTAAGCAGACAATTTCAGTGTCAGTAGACTGTAGCTGTTGAGCCCAATTTGTTGAGCAGAATATGAACTATGAAGACCCTGTCCGCTTTTCCCTCTTTGCTATAACAATTCCATCCACAGAGTGGGAGACTTGGTTACAATGGAGACACAGCTACACCTGAGAAGAACCAAATAGAAATGCAGCGATTAGCGTGGTACTTGACTATGGAGGAGCACATTGTGTCTTTCAACTGGCCTTGGAATACCTGAGTCCTCTCAGAAGCACTGGAAGAGGTGGCTGTGGAAAGAGATGTCTGAATCTCCCTCAAGCTGATGCCACCGAAACAGGTGGACGGAACAAGATTGATCGATGGATTGATTGATCTCAGGATCTTATTCACCACTGCTCATTCTTCATCTGCTTGTCAAAAACAAATCTGAATCTTGTCAGCAGCAGCTAAAAACATCCAGATATCTCTTCTCTGGACATACCTTAATTGATCATATCATTGGCTGTTCATTTTTCCTTCCATAGAATTACTCTGTAATGTATTGACAATAAATAAATAATAAATGAGCAAATTGTTCTTTAGTTGTTCACATTTGACACTCAACCCACATCAGCAGCATCCTGAACAAAACTTTTCTTGTTTAAGAAATGAGGACCAATCACATAAAAGGATGTCTGGAGCAAGCTCCGCCCCATCGACTCAAAGAACCGGTCAGAGCTATGGTAGGCCCATCATGTTGATATATTTGTATGGTTCTGGTTCAAAATCCGGTTCTAACATGATGTTTATTGTTTTCAACAGTGGGACGGCCAAACAAGAAAATTACAAAGGTAAAAACTGCAACTTGTTAAAAGATTATATCTGAGATCATCTCAGCTGCTGCTGCGTCACCCGTGTGTGTGTACGTGTGTGTGTCTGTCCTGACAGCCATCAGACAAAGGGAGGGTGGTGTGTGTGAAGTTTCCAGCTCAGTCTGTGGATGAGGCATATCTGCAAAAATGCATCGAACCGTTTGGAAAAATGGGAAAGATCCTCATGTTTCCATCTGTGGTGAGTCTACCTGCTTCTTCTCACCCTTGAACACACTCTGGTTGTTAAACCCACGGTAACAGTTTGAACTCTACAGGCCTTTGTGGAGCTGGGTACTGCTGATCAGGCAAAGGACTTGGTGAAGTTTTACAGTAACATGGATCCAGCTGAGAACAAATATCAGCTGGAGTTAAGCATCTCCAACACCTTCAGCTTCCTGCAGGTAGGACACCGGAAAACTAAGAATGGGCAATACAGACTCAAGGCTTCATGGGGTTTTAGGTTTTACATCACTGCATTGGCACTTGCATTAGTTTTCAGTTTGCGTTTTATTGTGTACCTCAAATGGAGGGTCACATGCTTCAGTTTTAGGATCATTAATTGGTACATACTTTGGTTTTAGGGTCTCAGTTTGGTATGTACCTCCATTTTAGGATTGTGTTTTACTATATACCTGGGTTTTGGGTGCTGGTTTGCTTCATCCCTACTGAGACCAGACCACATGCACACACACCCCTGATCGGATTAACTTTGGGGTTTCCTTTACCTTGCAGAATTGCTGTTTGAGTCTGAGCCGGCATGTTTGTGATGCGTTCAATTTACCAATAAAAATCAGATTTTTGAGATTCTGATTCCATTTTCCCAGCAGAGCAGTTAGTGCTTCTGTTGCTGACATTAACTGAGTCTGAACCTTGTTGCCCCAGTCCGACATAAATCGGTCGAGATGTTTTTCTTGTCTCCCCAGAGCTCTCAGGTGGTGGGTTTCCTTCCGGCTCCGTCAGGAAAGGATGGACGCTCAGATCTTATCAGCATCGCCAAACGATTCGGCGAGCCGCTCTACTGCTTGTTCTTGCCATCCAAGGTGAGTCGGACCGAACACTTGAGATGTAAAGAAAACAGGAAGTTAAATGAAGTGCGGACGCAGTTTAAAGCAATTTAAAGGTTCTCTTCATTCTGATGAGTGGGGTCGAGTTTTATTTTTCTGATCCGATTCTTTTAAACATTTTCAGTCCTGATTAGGGCTGGACGATACAGCGATATTTTAAAAATATCGAAATAATTTTATTTGCAATATAAATTGACATTATTTCGATATAAACAATATAGTTCTACAGTCCCCCTCCTTTCACTCACTCCAAACTCGGCCCCTACCCACGCGCTCTCCCCCGCTTCCAAAGTCTCTCCAGGTGGAGCAGCTGCCTGCGGCACATAGCAGCCACAATTAGTCACAAAATGGAGAGAGAGTAAGTCGCAGAACTGGTGAGCAGGAAAAAAATGGCTCTTTTATTTGGAGATGATTTGGATTTGTCAGATGTGCAACAGAAAACAATGCTGAAAATAAGTCCTGACGAAAATGTTCGAGCACAACAAAACTTTTTCACCATTTAAATCAGCACTATAAGGTGGAGTATGAAGCATGTGTTAAACTTCGTGCTGCAGCTCCGACTGTGAAGCTTCTGAGACAAACTAGGATACGAAACTCTTTTACCTGTGCTGTGTCTTATGAGAGGTGATGTGAATGAAACAGCGTCTTATCGTACCGCTAAAGACGCGGTCCTTAGCGGCTAACAAGATGGCTGTTAGCCACTAAGGACTGAATCTTTAGTGATATGATAAGCCACTGTTTTATTAATGTGGCGCTACCTCAGAATCAGAATAAACTTTGTCATTGCACCGAGATACAACGAGAACATGTACGTACGGTCGTCCGAAAGATGGGCGGAGTGCACGAAGCTGCTACTATAAAAAGCGCGGCCCTCTTATTCTTATTCAGAATAATATTTTGCTTAGATGAGAAAAGGGAAGAAAACATGAGGAGAAACGGTATAAAAAAAAGTTTTCTCACACCGTGTCCTAGACAGGGCACGATTTGAGGCATTAAAAAAAAAACTACCACAGCAAAGCAACATAAATAGACGTCATACATGTACATATAGGCCGGTGAAGAAGACGTTAAATTTTAAGGGAAAGTCGTAGCATAGTCCAGAGCTCTCGCTGTAAGACTTGAAAGTCTGTGGACAGTAGTTCTTTTTCTGCCTGTCTGTGCAGCCAGCTTCATGCAGCCTCCCCCTCCTCCTCCCTCGCTCTCACTGCTGCAGTTCACACATGCGTACTAACAAAGAGAAGACGGTGCAGCTGGGGAGGATTATTATTTAATATACGTTAAAAAAAGGTCTAAAAACTAGGGGTTGAACGAGTATATAATTTTTAAACTCGACATTAACATAATAAAACCCGAGTAGAACTCGAGTATTTGATGATGTCATAGATCTCAAGATACAAAAATAAATAAATAAAACTGCAAAAAAAGGTAATTATTTACAAAAAAAAAGACCAACAAAACATTGGGAGCGTATATTATGCTCCTACCATTTATCATACTGCAAATAAGTCACAGAAAAAACTAAAGTATTAGTTATTATTATTAAACTGCAAACGTGAAGAAACGCAGCACGTCAAAAACGAAACTTAAACCAAAACTGGTTCTGGTTCGGTGGATAGGACCAGGTGTTACACCATACTCTGTGACCTGCAACAGTGCAACACCGCCCCCTACGGTCATACGGTGGTCACATAATATGACATCACTACGGATACCTGACTTTACATTTTTAACATCGATAGATGTCCTAGCAATCGATGTGTAGATTACTCGAGTACTCTGTTAATACCCTACTAAAAACAAACTTTAATATATGTAAATGGTTTATTTTTTAGACATTTATTTTGTACAGTTACAGTTGTTAATAAATGTGCCTGTGTGACAACTGTGACAAAGCTTTGACTCTGAAATATATTTTTGTTATTACTTTATGGAAGAAAAAAAAATTGAGATATATATCGTATATCGCCATTAATTTTGGTTCATATCGCCCAGCCCTAGTCCTGATCAGAGCTTCTGATCCAACTCTGTTTAAAACTTCTGACCCGATCTTCATTTCCAGGTTTAGATAATCGGTTCTTTAGACATTTTAAAGGTCTTTCAGTTTTTCTTTGGACGTTGGCAGTTTTCTCACTCAGTTTCAGAACCTTCACTTTTTGTTTTAGGCGTTCATTGAGATGAAACTTCCTGGTGATGCGAAGAAACTGGTGGATTATTACTCCTCAAATGTTCTGAAGATCAACAATGACACCATCGACGTGTCTTTCTCCACAGAGTACAAGTCCCTCATGTGAGTCTGAGCCAGTCCAACAAAAACTGACTCCTGGTTCCTGATCAGCTTGTAATTCAGGTTCTATTCTGTCTTGTTCTGCAGGCGGGTTACACTGGCCACTAGGTGCGATGAAGAACCAAACCAAACCACCACGAGCAGCACAAGAGAATCCAGCAAGGAAAGAAAGACCAGGTCAAGGTCTAGGGACAGGTTCAAAACTACACGGCGGTCCAGAAACCGTTCCAGATCCAGAGATAGACGCAGAGACAGATCTAAAGGGCGATCCAGCCGTGAAAAACAGTCTAGAGACAGGTCTAGAGACAAGTCTAGAGACAAGTCTAGAGACAGGTCTAGAGACAGGTCAAAAAGAGAAGGACGAACCAAAACCAGGTCCAGGTCCAGAGAAAAAAGTAAAGACAAATCTAGCAAAGAGACCAGGTCCAAGTCTGAAGAGAAATCCAGCAACAGCTCTACTGGGCAGGACCAGACCAAAGAGAAGACCGAGGAACCAGAAGGATCTAAAGAACCAGAAAAAACAGAGGAGCCGAAAGAACCAGAGAAAAAAGTGAAGCCAGAGGAACCAGGTAAATAACTAAACCTGATTTAAGAGGATCCGATCAATTCTTAAAAAAAAAAAAAAAAAAACTTTATTGATCCTGATCATTAAAACCAAAACAGAATTACAAACTTCTTCAACATCAACAAGAAACGTCTTCAGTTTTAAAGACTGAACTGGGATTTACCTGAAAAGATAAACTGTGTCATCATGAAAAACTGGTTCCCTGATTCAGCAGCTTGTAAAACCTCGTTCAGCAGCAGAACACTCGGCGTGTTTCTGTAGGGCTTTATCGGTGTTTCGAATGGTTGTGGAGGAGTTTTGGCCCACTCTTCTTTCCATTGTTGATTCAGCTCATTTAGGTTTGTGCTCAGCTCTCTGAAGGTCCAACCACAATATTTCAGTCAGGTTGAGGTTCTGGACTCTGACTGGATCATTGTAGCACCTCAATTCTTTTTTTATTGACCCATTGTTTTGTAGATTAGTTGGTAGAGATGCACCGATTCGATACCAATATCTGTATTGGTCCCGACATCGAAAAAAAACCTTGTGGATCGGGTATCGTGACAATATGACCGATCCATGACTGGGCAGATCTTTTCACTCTAATTCTACGCTCTGTGCTCTGAGTGACATCATGCACTAGCAAACTCGCCTCACAGATTGTTTTCAAAATGGAGCGAGCGAAAGGATCAGCCATCTGGAACTATTTCACACTACCTCAGCCAACACATTCGACAGCTACGTGCAATTTGTGCGTAGCGACGGTTCCAAGAGGTGGCACGTACTAAAACTTCCAGCTATAACACTACCAACTTAATGAAGCATCTCCAGAGATTTCACCCTAAAGAGCACGCTGCGTTTGTTGAATGGAAATCAGCACTTTGTATCAGATCGTATCGGATTGGTATCAACTGATACGAATCCTCGGATATCGGTATCTGAAGTGAAAAAATTGGATCAGTGCATCCCTATTAGTTGCTGGGTTTGGGATCATAGTCCTACCCAGTTTTGTTCAAGCTTCAGCTGTTGGCCAGATGGACTCCAGAATCCTTTCAGTTAATGCTCGGTGAGGAGCCCAAACCGTCAGCCCTCCACCACCGTGCTGAATATCTCAGTCCACCAGGAGTTAACGGGTATGTTTGATTAGACGTACTAAGGCAGACCAATAAATTCAGCAGCCTCAGCACCATCAACATAAACACTATGTGCCGCTCACATTCCTGTAGAAACACGGACATTGATCATTTGCGTCAACGTTGAAAAAACAACAAATGGTGGCACATTTACCATAATTGTAAAGCATAAAGGTTTATTATTAGCTAATGTAGCAATTTTTCACACCACTGTGTTGCTTTTCAGAGAGTTCTTTTGGGTATCCAACCATTAGCCTAGCTTAGACCTTTTCTTTTACTCTATACTCCATCCTTGAACCTGCTGAGGCCTGTACATTCTGAGATTGAGCTCATTTCTTACTGTTGCACAGTCTGACCTTTGGGGTTAATTTTGTGTAAAGATTCTCAGCGGTCTTAAATGTTTTCCACTTGTGAATAAACTTTTTCTGTAGAATGATGAACTCCAAATAGTTTGGAAATGACCTTTGCCTCTTTCCAGATTAATGAATAGCAACAGTTGCTTCTCTGAGGCCATTGCTGATGTGGTTCTGACTCGGTATGTGTGTTAAAACCCACCTTTATACTCGAGAGTAGCAAAACTGCTACTTTTCTAGAAATGGGCCCACCTATGATCAGCAGCTCCTGGCTGATCCAGATCCTTTTATATCCTCTGGAACCAGTTTTTCCTCAGACTTTTGTAGTTCTTTTTTTCTCCCCATTTTAAGTAGTAGTTGTAGTTCTTTATTTTTTATGTTAAGGCTTGATCATGATCAGACGGTTTGAGTTTCATCCTGACAAGAGTTGTTGAAGTAAATCTGCTCGTGCTCATTCGTCTGCCGTTCAGAATAACTGATGATTTGTGTCACATGATAATTTTCTGCCTACAGACACAGAGACCAAATCTGCAGGCGAGCATGAACACGACTCTAACAAAGCACCTGATGCTGCAGATGAAAAGCAGATGGGTGATGAAGCAAAGTGAGTTCAGCTTAGCTTCAAAAGTGAGTTTGAAAATGTTCATTTTCTGAGTCAAAGTGTCGGTTCCTTCAGGTTTGCTGCAGACAACAGCGACATCCAAGGGATGAAGGTGATCGTAGAGGACAAGTTAGAGGGTGTTGATGCAAAACGTCTGGAAGAGAAGAACCAAGAAGAAGCCAACCATCCTGAAGAGAAAGCTGACTCAGTCGAACGAGGTAGAAACAAAAACTGAGCAGATCAGTTTGAAAATGATGCTTGGAAAGATAAACAAGTTGGTAATTCACAGAAGAGATGGCGATGAGCATAGACAGCGATGATCAGAGGGAGGAGGAAGAAATGGTGATGGATGAAGTGGCTGATGAGAAGGAAAATATTGAGACTGAAGAGATTGAGGAGAGGAGTGGGTTGAGGAATGAGGAGGAACGTGAAGAATCTGCAAGCACAGCAGACGAGGTAAGAACATCCAAAACTTCTAAAATGAACTTTCAGCAGATTAACTATGAGAGAAAATACACAAATGTTATAATTCATCCAATTTTACTTCTAAAGTTTTCACCCATGTCTTTTTGTCATTATGACCTAATGGCAGCAGGCGGGTTGAGGATTGACCAGAACATACATCTCTGGATTTTTACTTGTTTATTAAATTTTTGTTTTACAATTGGGACACTGGTTTCTGTGCTCATTTTGTCATGTGCCCATGACTGGTTTAAAGAAAAGCTTTATAATGTTCAAGAGTTAAAGTAGATCAATTGGTTGTTTTCAGCGTAAAGAGAAAAATGAAGGATTTTTGTTTTGTTTGCGTGAAGGAGTTTGGTTTCCCTGTGGACTTGGAGAACTGCATCACTCTGGATGAAGTGGGCTGTGAGGATGAAGGTGGGCAAATAGAAAACTGTAAAATAACGTTCGGTTCTAAAGTTTCTTCAGGTTCTGAAGTTCCTGTCTGTTGCAGGTGAAGCTGTTCAGGATCAGGGGAAGGTGAGTCTTCAGAAATCAGATTTGGTGGATCTGGTGTTCAGATCCTGTTAGGGCGGGTCAGAACGATGAGTAAAAACTCAGACTGAGTTTCTGGTTGCAGTCCTCAGAATCCAGCAGTGTTATTTTCTTCAGCACGATGCCGCAGAACTACACCGACATGGAGTTCATCGAAGTGATGAGAGGTTTTGGGGAGGTGGTCCGTTACCTCCTGGTGCAGGACCGGCAGCAGGTTAGAACCTTTCAGTAAAACGCAAGAAACCGTCGGGTTCGGATTTGGTCAAACTAACAGATAAATTAACTTTGTTTCAGGGCTTCATCGAGATGTCGACTCCCTCAGAGGCTCAGAGTGCTGTCCAAGTCCTGGACTCCGAACCCGTCTACATCAATGGAACCAGACTGATTGGCTGCTTGTCTCAGGAATATTCCAGGCTCACCGACGGGTCAGAACCTCTCTCCACTCTCTTCCTGTTGGTTGTCAGCCATCACTGATCTGCCTTCTGTTTACAGGTTGCCTGTCCTGTCAGATAAGGAGAAGAAGAGCGACGGCAACGGCGTGGGTACCAGGAAGAGTGAAAGACTGGACATGTCTAGCAACAACGAAACTCTAGATATGGAGACAGAGACGACTACAGATGAAAAGACGGGGTCCGAAACTACCCCGGAGCTAGAGACGCCTGAAACGATTGAGGAGGAAAAAACCAATGAGACATCGGAGATGGAGACGCCCGAAAAGATTCACGAGAAAGAGACATCGGAGAGCACACCTGCCAGAAAGACAAGGTCCAAAAAAACTCCACAGACGAAGACGTCAAACCGAAAGACGAGGTCCAAAAAGACTCTGGAGAAAGATTCCCCTGAAAAACCCGCAGAGCCCGAGATGCCTGAGGAGAGTCAGGAAACGGAGGCCGACAAGATGCCAGAGATAAAAACAGATGAGACTCCAGAGACAAAGAGTGACGAGACGCCAGAGACAAATACCGACGAGACGGCAGAGACAAAGACCGACGAGACTCCAGAGACAAAGACATCTGTCAAGTCTTCCAACCGAAGAACAAGGTCCAAAAATATTCCAGAGAAAGATCATTCCAGTCAAGCTTACTCAAGAAGGACCAGGTCTAAAGTGACTCCAGAAGAGACAACTGAGATGTCAGAGAACGCTTCTGAAAAAAGCTCAGACATGAAGACTGTCACAGAGACACCAGCGACAGAAGTGTCTGAACAGATTCCAGAAATGGACTCTTCAAACAAAACGAGTGAAGAAAAAGAAGTCGTGGACATCTCTGAGAAGGAACCGACAGGAAGAACAACTGTAAAGGGTAAATCCACGTCCAGCAAGGGTCCAGAGGAGAGGACAGACAAAAGAAAGGGGACTCCTGAGGACGATGTAGTACCTGTAAAAACTGTGAAGACAGAAACTCCGGAAGATGCAAACCAACCAAATGATGGGAAAGAAAAGTCGACTGGAGTGAGTTTGGAGACTAAAACTTCTGAACCAGAAGTGAAGGAATCAGAGAAACTGGATCATCCAGAACCACCTAAGCAGGTATCAGATGTCAGTTACTATTGATGTTGGGTAAATAGACATTGCAGAGACTTCAGAGTTCATTTTACTGTAAGAAACCTTAAGAACCGAGTCCCAGCTGACCTGAGGTGTTTTCAGAAATCAGAGATGGACCAACTGCCTGCGCCAGCAGAGGGTGCCGCAGAACCAGAGAAGCCTTTCAAACCTGTCGGTGAGTTTCACCTGGAAGTCATTCACACCTTTTCTGAAGTACTGGTATACAGTTTCTGCTGTACAGTCCCTCAATATATCAAAAGTTTTTTTAAACCCAGTTTTTTTGTGTGTGTGTGTGTGTGTAATGAACATGCTGTGCACTACTGCACGTTTATCTTCAATGCACATCTGAGCTGTGCACTGTTTGAGCCAGTGTTCAAGTGGTGTGTGTGTGTGTGTGTGGGGGGGGGGTTCCAGCATGAGTGCTGCTTTCAGCCTTTTTAGCTAGCACGCCACTAGCTTAGCGCTAGCTACGTCAGAGTCTCGGGGGAGGTCTGCTCAGTAAGCGTGGCACTCAGCTTGTATAATGGTAGGGGAAACTGTTAAGTGTTTGAGAGGGTTTATAAAGCCTCGGATTTTCACCTGCGGGGATTTCAGGAACGTAATCTCCGCGATAAATGAGGGATGACTGTACCTCACAGTTTGGTTGGTTTTAACTGAAAAAAATCTCCAAACTGAGTTTTCTGTGTTTGAATGTGGTCGACGCTAGTGAAACACTTGTTTTGAGAAGCGTCATTGAACACAACATGGTTTAAAATGACTAACTGTAAAATTAACCATGGTGCATTCACTGTCCCCTTGGCTTTTGTTGTTGCAGGATCACAGTTCGTGCGTCCGGTCGTCGGTTACTTCTGTTATTTGTGTGAACGGATCTTCATGGACGAGGACGAAGCCAAACAGGACCACTGCAGCACGCTGGAGCACTACAGGAAGTACCAGGTTACTATGGAAACCGTCTGTTTTACCTCTCAGCTGTTGACGAGTTTGTGTTTGCAGCTTCTCTAAAACGTCTCTGTTGTGTTGGTTTCAGGCGAAGACGGGGAAGGATCCGTGGACGAGCTAAGTGTGGCGCGAATGGAGTATAAGCTTTTTAAAGAAAATTTACAATTAGTTTCCTGTAGTTCAGCAGAAATAACTGATTGAAAATTTGTAATTTTAGTTTCCAAACAAAACAAACGTCATGTTTAATAAAACAGTTTATTTTGTAAAACTGCCACACACATTACTCAACATTAAGAAGGTCTACTGGACTACTTCCTGCCTAGTAGTGGAAAGATACGCTGAGGTCCAGGACGCAAAACCCTGGCCATCATGGCAACAACAGAACTAAAACTACTAAGATCTACTTGTTCATTTTTAACTTGTTTACTTAAACACTGATCTTCATGTTTAGTTATGCTTTGAACTGAAACTTTACATCTTAAAAAAAAAAAAAGACTTCATGTGTCTCATGCCTCTGTCGTCTTTGATGTTTTTTGTTCCTTCTCCAGATGTTTCTGTAAAAAAAAAAAAAGTTCAGTTTGTGTAGTTTTAGCTCATTTATCAAACCTGATTTATTTGTAACTGTATCAATAAATTACAGTCTCGTCTAACTTTGTGGTCGGGGCTTGTGTCTTACCTGCAGCTTGTCGTAGTGTGCTTGGCTGCTGCAGTGACGCTTCATGGCCGTGTCTTTGTTGGTGTAAAACAGGAAACAGATGCGACAGTAGTAACCCATCTTCATGTGTTCCATACCTGCACAAACCGATTGATCAATGTCATGGATGTTTATCACCAACTACTGTTAAAATAACGTTGAACCATGTCTGAGTCCTGTCAGGAGCCTGCATGTACAGTTTTGAGGCCGAGGTCATGTAAATAAACTTTTCTCGCACCGTCCGGGGCAGATTCTCACGATCAGGCTTCAACGTGTGACCGCCTTGCAAGTAAAACTAGGTTAAACAAAAATCTTCTGTCTTCGAGTGTTGGTCTTTTAGGAAGTAGGATGTTTTTATGCAACAATCAATATTTGTTTTGTAAACACAGCGGCAACCGTTTGATGGATTTTCTCACCGATGGGGACGTCGGGGTCGTAAGGCGGCAGGGGCAGAGACGCAGCGCTGGGCTTGTCAGCAGGGGGCGGAGTCTCAGTTTCTTCGTTCTGATTGGATGTTTCCATGGTGGTCTCCTGTTGGTCATCTTCCTGTTGACCTTTGACCTCAGCAGCAGCCTGTTCAAGAAAAACAATCAGCAGCTGATTTGTGGATTACTGATCAGGATTTAGGGATGTATTGATTATCAATCAGTCCCTTAAAACTCACGTCTTTGCTGATGTTCTTTTCATCAGAAACTTCTGGAAGTTTTTCTGCCGAGTTCTGTTCTGGCTCCTCTTCCTTCGTTTCCTCCTCTTTCCGCTTCTTGGCATGTGGCTCGTCGGAGGGTTCGGTGGATTTTTGCGGCGAGCTGCTTTTGGTCCTCTTTGTTCTTTTCAAATACAGCACACTAAAACAAACATTTACTTCAGATTATTCTGAACTAAAAGCTGCTGGGATCGGTTCATGGATGAAATGAAGGTGGAACACTCAACAAATTGAGCTTGTAAAACATTTTTCACTTGTTTTGATCTTGAATGAAATGGCGGGGGGAGAAGCATGATTTGATTGAATTATAACATCCCTGAGGTCAAAGGTCAGGCTGAATAAATCCATTCAAATGTTAGAACTTTTTATTTCACCAGACTCGTGTGTGACTGTGTTTAGGGCTGAAAGATAAAATGAGTAAAACAGAATTATTTATGTTTTACTGCAGGTGTCGTGTAAATTAACTGACCCGTTGTGGAGAGACGCGTACTTCCTGCTCACGTAGACGAGCAGGTGTCTTCCCATAAGCGTCAGCGGCTTCTCTTTACTCGCGTTGGCCATTTTCTCAGCTTCCTGCACCGTTTCCATCTCGATGAAACACTGAGGGGACACAGATTAGAGTTCAGACCGTTGCAACCTGCAGAGCCATTTCAGTCAGTCTGATCCGGTTCTGGTTCTGTACCTCTCTCCTCCACCTGTGCAGGGAGTACTTCCGGATGTTTCCGAACGGCTCCGCGAGCTTCATGACGTCGTCGTCAGAGTATTTAATATTGGGAAGCTGACCGATGTACACGACCTTGCTGGACGCAGTCTGACAGAAACACAATCGACAACTTTACACTTTCCTGCAGATCCAACGACGCCCCAAACAGAATTTTACTCAAACAGGATCAAACTGGTACAACCTTAAACTCCTGAGGAAATTATTTTCTACCATAAACATTTTGTTTTTCTGCTGAGTCATCTTTAACTTTTCAGATTTATCCTTAAAACAATGAAAATTGCTGTGGGTGTGAGGATTTGGTACATCAAAGAAAGAAAATTTGTTTTTAAACGGACTTTCTCTCAGAGGCAGACAAAATTTAAAAATAAAAAATAAAAAAAAACTGTTGGCGGGGGCTCTGCTCTGCAGGTCAAGCACAGCAACTGAAAGTTGAAAGATTTTAACCATTTTGTTTCTGGTTTGTTTTTGAGTCAAATGGCTCTGATCATTTTAATAAAAAAAAAAAAAAATCTATATAACTAAACTGATCAACTGATGTTTAAAAACCACCAAAGAGCTGGAGGTCCTGAGAGAGGGCAGAACTCACCTGGATGGTTGGGTATCTAATGGACCGGACAATCTTCACCTGGCGGCCGCACACTGTCGCAATCACGTTTCTGCTGTAAAACTTGTGCATGGCTATCGCCTCTTCCTCCTTCGCGAACTGGATGTAGGCCTGAGGAGGGAGAGGAGATGACCAGCTCAGAGCCCTCACAAAAATAAAAAAATAACACTGCCTGATTGACAAATTACCAACACACTCCGTCACGTCAGAGTTTCAGGAAGCGCTACAAGAAATCATAACTACAGGATACTCAAGCTACAGGACACCAGGACTATAAAAAACTACAGGTAAGCCGACAGTACAAGACAAAACATATTTGTAGTAGTTTTCATGCCAGGTCACTAGCTGACACTGTGATTGACCTTCATCAGAATGAAAACAGTTTCACCTAAACTGATCAATGCATCAAAAATTAGGTCGGGTTGCCGCTACACGTTGAAGAAGGTGATCAGCACAAACAGCACTCTGATATGCTCACAGAGACAAACTGACGGCAACCGTGGCAAACAAGCACAATTTAGCGAAAGCAATCACAAAAATGATCTGGTTTCACTTAAAATTAGCGTCGTGTAAACTGGGCCTTAAACTACGAGAACCATAAACTCAAAGGACTGAGTGTCCTCGTTCACGACAAACTCAAGAAATCAACGTGAGAAACTTTAAAGGGATCTCAGTCTAGTTGGAAAAATAAGACTATTTGATCAACTTTTGTTCAGCTATAAAAACAGGACCATAAAACAAATTTAAAACTCACACGGACGTCACCGTGTTATTTACACTGCAATGCATTCTGGGTAGAGGACGTAGACCGATTGCTTTGGTGCGAGCTCCACTCAGCGTGAACGTTAATTTTGGACAGTGTCTGGCGTTCAGCGCGTTGATAAAGGAGGATGTAGAAATGACTCAGCCTCCAGCTGAAAATGATGAAGATTGAATGATGAAGAGGAAAGTCGGACAGAAGAGCTGATGTTTGTGCTGCTGCTGCTGTGACAGCTTCTGCTTCCATCACAAGCTTTTCACAACAATCATTGGCATCAAAACACTCATTTATATTAGAATAACTCACATTATATGATAATGAGGACTTGCCCGGCTGATGGAGGACAGTGTGAGGGAGGCACCTCAGCTTTAGCTGTTTAGCTTTCACATTAGCTCCCAAGCTAATTTACTAAACATCATCCGCTAATCGTGTTTCATCATGTAGCTGTTTAGTTTTTATATTTCTTCTATTTTCATTTTATATATATGTTTTCTATGACTGTCTATTGTATGTATCTCATCTGTGTTCTTCGTTTAAAACAGGTCTCTTGTAAATGTCCTCGAGGCTCAATGAGACTAACCTGTATAAATAAAGGTTGAATGATCATTTTGACCCATATACCCTGCATAAAGATAAGATAGAACTTTATTGATCCCACAGGAAAATATTGCATTTTTATTATTATAAAAAGGCACAAGGACTAATACAAAATCCAACTTTATTGTAATATATTATAACTTTTTGGCCTTGACTCCTTGTATTTTAGTCTCCACTGCAACCTATGTATGTCATCGTCCCAGAATGCTTTGCACCAGCAGAATGGTGATATCCTTATGCGAAAAATGTAACAAACATACAATTTTTAAGTCATTAATTGTTTTTTCCACTTTCACAGACAACTTTTAGTAGAATAGGAACATATTAAGGTTAGTATGAGATCCCTTTAAGTTGATTAAGTGACACAAACTCAAGATTTTCATTGACCTGGAATTATTTTATCTGAAGAATTGAACCGACCCGCACGTTGAGTAAACTCTAGTCAAAGGTGCTGCTCATTGACCCGGTTCTCTTTTAAAACCACTGCCACTAAACATGTGACTGTTTCTTACTTTAAGAAATATAAAATAATCAAAAGAGATAAGTTTAATATGTATACGAGATGGGTCTGAACCACACTCATCATCCATCCGTGTGCTGTACCTCGGCTCGCCGGTCCAGAACCAGGTGTCTCTCCACAGTCCCAAAGGGTTTGGCGAGTGCCAGCATCTCCTCGAGGAAGTTGTAGTCTCGATGGAAGCCCATGATGCTGACGACCCTCATCCCCTGATTGAAGAGGACAAGTTTACTCAGTTTTCATGTTCTGAAGCTCAAGCCAACCAACGAGCAGAATTTGTGCAGAAAAACCCAGACAACCACCAGAGTGTGAGCGGGCGTAAATTAAATTTATCCCTTTTTTTGTTTTATGATCAACCTGTTTAAAATGTGCTTCCTTCAGGGAAACAGCAGAAAGTTTCATAAACGTGTGGAGCTGGGATCAGAATACGTACCCCTTTCTTTGTTTGCTCTGCAGAGAAGAGACACAGAAGAAAAGTTAAACACTTTTAGACCGTTTTATTATTAAAACACATCACAACTTCACTAACTTGAGGCATCGGCATCTTTGTGGGCGTCGCCTTCGTCTTCTTCCAGTTCGTCCAGCGTCACAAAGTCCTCCATGTTCTCCATGAAGTCCTGATCCATCTGAGAACAGCAGCATTAAATTTCATCAATTGATTTTCTGTTAACTCCAAAAAGAGCGAGCAAAAACAAATTAACTTCCCCCAAATGGACCCGATCTTTTCTGATCAGATGAATAAAGTCTCACCTAATCTGCAGGTGACCATGAGTTGTCTCACCTTTTCTTCAGGCTTCTTTTCCTCGTCACAGCTCTCTCCTACATTTTCTTCGTCTTTGTTCTTGAGTTCGTCGGTCGGAGTTTCGGTCTCCGTCGCTTCAGTCTGTCCCTCCATCACCTCCCCCTTTGTGACCACGCCCTCAGCTGTGACCTCATCACGTTCAGGAACCTGCGAGGGTTTCAAATGTTACCTCTCAGTCTTGTTTGATTTGTTTTGTGTGTGGGTGTTAATGTTTCACCTCCTTATGCTCCTCCTCTTCATCCTTCACAGACTCAGCTTTTTCTGGCTCCTCCTGGTCTTTGTCCTCCTCCTCCTCCTCCTTGTCCTGCTCTTCAACCTTATCATCTTCTTCATCTCCGTCTTGCTCCTCTTCGTCTTGCTCCTCATCCTTGTCTTGCTCCTCATCCTTGGCTGCGTCCTCCTCTTTCTCACCCTCTTCCTCCTCTGGGTGTCCCTCATCATCCCCTTCGTCTTCTCCTCCCTGTAACACTACTGAATCCTCTTCCTCCTCCTCATCTTTTACTGCTGGCTTCTCCGTTTTGTCTTCCTTCTTCACCTCCTTCTTCTTTGTCTCCTCAGTCTTCACCACCTTCTTATTCTTCTTCCCCTCCTTCTCCTCCTCCCTGCCACTGGATGGAGACTTGGAGGACGTAGTTTTGGTGGAGGTTGATTCTGGTCTGCCGCCCCTCCGGTACTGAGTCACTTGTCTGTGGCTCACACTGAGTAAACAACAAACATCAGATTCAAACTTTTCTTTTCCATCAAGATGATGCCATTATTTATTTTTTTATTTTTCTGAATCAGATGATCTGACTTTACTTTGTTCAATTTTTCTACCTGGATTATTGAGCATGCTTCAGGATATGATGTCATTATTTCTCCATCAGCCTGAATGCTCACTCAGCTTTTACTTTCCTGTTTATTTTCTCTACGTTCTTTACAATCAACCATTTCTGCACACTTGAAGCCGTTTTAGCCGTTCATTTATCAAAACATTCAGCTCACTCAGGAGACCTTTGGTTTTTGTAACATTTTTACTTTTCAAAATATTTAACTTCATTTAAAAATATTTTTCTCCCAAATATACACAGAGATTTATTAAATCTTAGTATTTTGATACATGTAGCTCTCAGCTAGCTCTTTGCGACAAGTAGCAAAATGCTACTTTTAGCTGGCTTTTGTCACTTTCAGCTTTTAATGTTTTGAGATTTTTAAATAGTCTAGTGTTCTGCTTTTCAGCTACAACAGCTCGTTTGCCTGGTTAAATAAATGTGAATAAACAAATAATTTCCGTTCACATTCCTACAGTCAGGTGATGGAAGGTTGCAGGTTTAATACAAAACCAAATGATGCACGACACGGCTCCATCCTGGAGTACTGAACATGAACCAAGTCTGATTCCCAGCGTGGTGCCATCTCAGACCATTCTGCTTCAAAAACACCGTATTGTTCTTTAATCAATGAACAGTCAAGTGTCAAACATCTGGAGCATCTGTCTCCAGATATTCAAGATTCAACTTGTCTGCTGGATTCCTTAGATAGAGAACTTTACTAATTGGCTTTTATGTTTGTGAATGTTCCTGTAAAGTGCCATGAGACAACTTTGTTGTGATTTGGCGCTATAGAAATAAACTGAATTGAATTAAAGTAAATAAAATCTTTTGACTGAAATTTTTTTCTATACCTAGAAATTATCAGTGCGTCATCAGACTTTAACCTGCACAATTAAATCCTCCAGATCAATCCAACAATTTTCAGTCAGGTCATCTGGTCAGTTTCTTTTTTTTTGCTGAAACGTTTCACCTTCCATCCAGAAGGCTTCATCAGTCAAGGTAACGCACAACACAAAACTGATTCTTCCCCCAAACAGCTTACTCCAAAGTGGAACAAACCAGTTATGTTGGCGCTAAGATGGTGGCTTTGGCACGCCAAAACATGAATCAAGTCTGATTCCCAACGTGGTGCCATCTTGAGGAGCTGCTGTCATGGTTACCAGGTGAACCCAGGTGTTTACTCACTTGAGGGTTTTATATTTGGCGCAGAGGTTGAGGCTGATGCGCCGTCCTTCGATGACGAGCGGGTTACTGCTGTAATACTTGACCAGCATCTCTGCATCTTCCTCAGTTCCCAGCTGGACAAAGGCCTGAACAACAACAGACATGTTAGTCACAAAATATTATTTGTTTTGGTTTGAACTTTCCAATAAAGGCTCAGGGTTTACCTCATCTTTTAAGAACAGGTATTTCTGCACGGTGCCAAAGCGTTCAGCGATGGTCAGCAGCTCCCTCTTCTTGTGTTCCTCTCTGGGCAGGCGGGAGAAGAAAACCACTTTGGTGCAAATACTGGGACCTTTGACATCCCAAGCAGGAGCAGCAACAGGCCTTTCCATGGGCTGGTTCCCTGGGTTTTTCTGCAACAGTAGCAGAGTCTGAGTGGGTTTCCTTAGTTCTGCAGAACTAAGAGCAGCAGCCGAGTTACCTTAATGACCATCAATGTCTGGGACAAGTAGAAGGTGATGGGTTTGCCGTACAGAGAGGTCGGGTTCTGTTTGTAGTAGTTCACCATATCCAGAGCTTCTTCATGAGTGTCCATCTCCAGGAAGGCCTGAAGGAGACGCACAAACTGAGACGGAGCAGCTGGGAGGATAGCTTGGACGTTCTGTCTAACTTAGACAAGTCGCTTATTTCCCTCCAGCATGATTTTAGTTTCAAGTCATCTTTAAAATATAATAATTTGTATTATTTTTAATATTCATATTATTTCAAAGTAATGATTTCTAACATCAGACCATTCTGCTTCAAAAACACCGTATGGTTCAATGAACAGTCACGTGTCAGAAACATCTGGAGCATCTGTCTCTAGATATTAAAGCAAATAAAAATATTTTGACTGAAACTTTTTTCTATACGTAGAAATTATACATCAGACTTTAACCTGCACAATTAAATCCTCCAGATCAATGACATTTTGAAAGAAGAGGGCGATTCTGAACAACTTTAAAATAGTTTACTTTCATGTCAATCCATTGTTTTTAACTGGGTGCTTGTCAGATATATTTTTAAAATTATGGCACCGGTAGTATGTCGTATGTTTTGAACAGTACAGAATAACTGAAATTCACGCTTGTTTCCAGACTGACGCATTTCTCCCTTAAAATGAAATCATTCAAAGGGATTATATTAACAGGACTTCAGCTCAGTCATTTAACAACATTTATTTTTATATTTAATAATTTATTGAATTACATTTATCACAGTAGTTACCTTTCAGTATGACTCCAAATATAAGCAAGCTTAGCACATCCACATACCCTAAACCATGTTATTGCTATAATACTGTGTAGAATTAAATTCTGTAGATATTTTTGATAAACTAAAAACACACGAAACTGTTTCACTGAGAGAACATCATGAATTTGGAAAAAACAATCAAGCTAAACAGAGACACAGAGCATTGGTATAATCTGGGGTGTACAAATTTTCTTTTTAAGTGGTTCTAAGTTGAATCCAAAGAACTAAAGCAGCTGAAACGAGTCTCACTGACACTCAAACAGGCTGCGTGCGCTCCCACGGTGGTGCTCTCTCAATTATCAGTTTTGTCATGTGCACAAGTTGAATATTTCTGTACGATAACGATGACACTCCAAACATATTAGCATTTAATACAATTTTAAATTTTAGATACAAAAGTCCGCTTTAGACTAGGCCTGTCACGATAACTAATTTTGCTGGGTGACTGTCTCAGAAATTATTGCGATACACGATAATATTGTTTGAAATTTGACAATAATTAGTAATTATTGTCAAATTTAAGAAGAAATGTTGGTCAGTTTGTTTTGTGTGTAGTACCTTTTTTGGACCACCTGATGGCAGTATAAGACTGTTTGAACCAAAGGATGGATAGTGAGGGAACGAGCAGCGTGTCTCTAAGAAAAATGGGAGGAAGGTCCCTTGACGTGACATGGGCTATCCTTCCTTTTTTTCGGTTCTTAAAATGGCGGCCGCTCGGTGTGGTTTGAGCTCTTTAGCATAGAATTTTTCACACAAAACTTTTAATAAAATAAAAAAAATCAGCAAACAAGTTCTCAGCTTCTTTTTACACTAACTTTTTACACAAAGGCACGGGTTTCAACAGTAAATTTTGGAGCTTTGACAAAACGGAGGTTTTTTTCCTGAGGTCGGCCTGTTAGCTTAGCTCGTAGCTTAGTTTCTCAGCTTGGTTGCTTTTAACGATTCACAAACATGATTTTGGATGGTTAAAACAGATTTTAAAGCAAAAGGGAGGGGTCAGTGAAGAGCACCGGAGTTGAGTCTTTTGTCATCCAGTGTCTTCAGTAGAAAGAGAGACACGAAGAAACAATAAAGCTGATAAATGAAAATGAGGTCGAGAATTTTCATTTATCATGCGATTGATTTATTGCGACAGGCCTACTTTAGACCAAACGTGAGCCACTGCTCACTCAGCACAAGACCTGTAGTAATGACTCTCTAAAACGGTAACATTTTGACTGTGGTTCTCTTTATTTGTTAAAAGCAGTGTCAGTTTAATCTCTATGTAATATTTACATTGGATGGACTTAACACCACCACAAAAAAATAAAATAACACTTTTTCTGCTCCTTTAATTATTACAGACAACGGAAAGCCGTTCTGGCCACATTCAAAATCCCACTTTCCATAAAGCATGGAGAAAGTTTGTCTACCTTTTTGTCGAGGACCAGGTGTTCTCGAAGGTTGCCGAACATCTCAGCAAGGGAGAACAGAGTCTGGTTGCTCAGAGGCTTCCTGTCGTATTTTACCACCACCACTTTGCTCCGTCCCTTGGGAAACAAAAAAACATCAGCAGACATTTAATCAAGAGACACCCAGAGATATGAGACGTCTAATCAGAGGCATTCAAGAGACGAGATCACGAGACATACAATCAGATATCTGAAAAAAATGTACAGCAACAGAGTTTGGACCCACCAGGTTCTGAACCAGTTTATTTGCAGACAGACTGCGATCTCCTCCTGACAGACAAACAGAGTGAATGTTAGAAACCCAACCAGAACCTGTCCTATAAACTCTGTCCTGCCTCCAGCAGGAAATGTCTTCAAGACCTAAAAGATATCAGTGTCTCACCCCAGCTGGAGGACATCCCTCCTGTATGACCTAAAGACATGGGAGATGCTCCCAGCAGCCCTGGTGACATGTTGGGTGTGTCCCGGTGACCCCCACTGGGAAAAACAACAACAATGAGTCTCTTAAACAAATAGCTACTTTAACTCTTTTTTAATGTTTGTTTTTCTTTCAGCTGCCCCATTCTCAGGGGTCGCCACAGCGAGAAAACTCGCACAAAAGATCTGGTAATAGTTTTAAGCCTGATGCCCTTCCTTTCCTGACACAATCTGGACTCAGACTTGCAGCCTCAGGATTACAAGACTGCAGTACTGAACACTGAGCTAATCTTCATTAACAAGGATAACAAAGTGACAGTCTACAACTTATTTTTTACATCGTTACTTTAAATCTACAACAGATATCTGAACCATAGGCTCTGGTTTCTGTAGAACAAATTATTTGCTGCAGCTCAAGAGTCTGAACTCTTGAGTTGGTGCGTCTTACCTCCGACCCGATGCCATCCCAGGTTTCCATTCTGGATACCTAAAAGAAGACATTTAAACTTTCATTAAAAAGGTCACCCTCAGTATACACCATTTGGCCCACTATTGATAACGTTTCCTGTCAGAATGAAGCCAGTTTTTCCCATTTCATCTCATCAGCTTCTGCTGTTAACATCCATCTTTGTAATGTTTTAATTTCTTCTCCCAACAGTAAAGACAGTTCATCAATGAGGACATCAAGTAATGAAGTGTTTCAGGTGTTATTTTGTTACCTTAACGTGATGGAGGGGTTTGAGTACCCCATGGATACTGGGGACTATGGTGTCAGGGGTACCAGCCCCTAGTAGGGTCTCGCATAGCAAACAGTCCTTGGGGGAGGGGTCAGGCTAAGAGCAATTCAAAACAACAAATGCATCAGGAAACCTTGCCCGAAAAAGGGAAACCGAGGCACCACCCTGGAGCCAGGCTTGGGGAGGGTGGCTCACCGGCAAGCGCCTGGTGGTTGAGCAGTGGCTCCTGGGGCTAGGCCAGGTCAAGCCCAAAAAAATAACATGAAGCCGCCTGCATGTGAATCCACCACCTGCAGAGAGATTCATCAAGATTGGGTGCGGTGCATGCTAGGTGGAAGACAAGGGAAGGTCCCTGTCGATGCCAATTCCTGGTGGCATAAACTAGGAACTTGGAACATTTCCTCACTGGCGGATAAGGAGCCGGAGCCTGTGTGTGAGGTTGAGTGGTACCAACTAGATGCAGCTGGGCTTACCTCTACACACTGCTTGAGCTCTGGAACCCAACTCCCGGAGAGAGACTAGACTCTCTCCAACTTCAGAGTTGCCCAGGGAGAGGGGGTTGCCTCTCTGCGACTTTGGGCTGCAGGAGGGAAGGTTCTGACGTTGTTTGTGCTTATGTAACAAATATCAGTTCAGATTATTCTGCCTTTCTGGAATCTCTAGATAGTGTCCTGAAAGGTGTGCCATCTGGGGATTCCCTCATTCTACTGGGTGACTTCAATGCCCATGTGGGCAATGACGGTGTCATCCAGAAGGGAGTGACTGGGAAGAACGGTCTCCCTGATCTCAAACGGTGTTTGCTAATTGGCCTTTTGTGCTAGACATGTTTTTTCCATAACAAACACCATGCTTGAGAATAGGGTAGTTCATAAGAACTTAGTACCAGGCCACCTTAGGTCAAGGTCAGTCAATTTTGTAATCATGTCACTTGACCTGTGGCCCCATGTCTTGGACACATGGGTGAAGACAAGCAAAGCTATCAACTGATCACCACCTAGCGGTAAGTCAGATCCGGTGGTGGGGGAGGCTTCCAAACAGACCTGGTAAACCCAAACGCATAGTGAGGGTGAACTGGGAACGTCTGGTGGAGCCCTTGGTCCATGTAGCTTTCAACTTGCATCCCCGGGAGTTTGCACATGTCCTGGTGAGGTTGTGGACATGGAATCCAAATGAGCCATGTTCAGAGCCTCTAATGGAGATGCGGCTTCCAGGAGTTGTGGACTCAAGGTCAGTGTCGCATGGAGAACTGGGACATAGCTTGTGGAATGGCAGACCAAGGTGGTGGTTCCCATTTTTAAAAAGGGTAATGTGGATAATGTGCTCCAACCATTGTGGGATCACAGTTCTTGCGCCCCCAAGGAAAGTTTACTCCAGAGTTATGGAAGGGAGGCTCTGACCGATTGTCGAACCTCGAATTCAGGAGCAGCATTGTGGCTTCCGTCCTGGAACAGTGGACCAGAATTTCACCCTTGCAGAGTTGCTATAGGGGTCATGAAAGTTAGCTTCTCCAGTCAACTTGTTTTTAAGATCTGGACAAGGCTTGAGACATTCTCGAGGTATGCTGTAGGGGGTGCTATGGGAGTATCAAGTGCCTGTGTTGCTTTTAAGGGCTATCCAGTCCCTGTATAACCAACGCAGGAGCTGAGTCTGCATTCTTGGCACGAAATAGAGCTCGTTCTCAGTGCAGGTTGGACTCTGCCAGGACCGTTCCTTGTTTCCAATCCTGTTTGGTGCTCAGAACAGGATCTCAAGGAGCAGTCGCGGAAAAAAGGGTTTCTAGTTTGGGAACCTCTGGATCTCATCTCTTTGCGGATGATGTGGTTCTGCTAGTATCTTCAGGCCAAGACCTTCAGCATGCACTAGGGTGGTTCACAGTCGAGTGTGAAGCAGCCGGAATGAGAGTCAGTGCCTTTAAGTCTGAGGGCCTGGTTCTTGACTGTAAATGAGTGGAATGCCTCTTCTGGGTCGGGGGGAGACTTTTCCTCAGGTGGAGGAGTTAAAAGTATCTAGGTGTCTTGTTCACAAGTGATGGCAGGATGGAGCGAGAGATGGACTGACAAATTGAGGCCTCGTCCTCAGTAATGAGGGTGTTACTTCAGTCATTTGTGGTGAAAAAAGAGCTGAGTCAAAAGGCAAATCTCTCAGTTTACTAGTCTAAGTTCCGACCCTCGCCTACGGTCATGATGTTTGGATCATGACCAAAACAAGATCCCGGATACAAGACGTCGAAATGGGATTCCTTCATAAGGTGGCCAGGCTCAGCCTTAAAGAAAGGGTGAGGAGCTCAATCATCCAGAGGGAGCTCAGTGTAGAGCAGATTTTCTCACATTTAAAATGATCCTGGAGATCCTCTGAACATGTAAGATACTCAAAGACGCTGATACCAATTTAAAACCAAATTAGCACAATCAGCTCCTAAATAAACCTTTTGTTACTTTACTACTGCCCAATTCTCATCATTCTAACATTTACTGAAATGTGACGCAGCTTGAAATGCAGAATCTGATGCAGCTCCATTAACAGCTGGTATGTTCAGGATCAAAGGTGATAAATCCCACAGATTTAATAGATAAATAGATTTTAGATAGTTCCATCATCTGAAGGTTCCTTCTCTGTTCTGGCTCATCTGTGTTTGACAGAAGCACTCACGTGTCCAAAAATCGGCGACTGTTTTCAGCATGTCGAAGATCCTTAATATGTTGATTCCACTCCTGCAGGAAGAGAGAGATTACTGACAACATTTTTACAACTAAGCCACAAGAATAATTTATTAATTCTGTTGTGAATGGGTTTATCCAAAGAAGGTTCTCCATCTGACTGACAGCTGTGTTTATACAGAAACTATAAAGATTTTATTTCTGCATTATCAGAAGAAAAAAGGGTATTTTTTGGAAAAAAAATAAAATAAAAAGTGTGTGTGGGGGGGGATCTACAGACATATGAAAGTCCACACTATTTGGGTTTTCCATATCAAAATATAAGAAAATGATCAGATTGTTTTTCTAAAACGAGTCTAATCTCAAGTGAACTAAAACAACAAATTCCATCACGTTGTTATTGATTAAAAACTGAACCAGAAAGGGAGACTGGTTACCGTCTTGCTGCTTCCACAGGATCCCAGAGGTCCAGGACCAGTCAGAAGAAGCTACTGATTAACTGATTCTCATCAGTGGGACCACCTCTGTCTGGAGCACACAGGTGTCTGTCAATACTGTGTCAAGGTGGAAAGACATCAGCAATGACCTCAGAGACGCAGCCGTTGCTGACCATAAAACTAAGAAAGGTCAACGGTCATTTTTAAATTATCTGGAGTCCATCATTCCACAGAGAGAAAGATTACCTACAAGAGCAAAACATTAAAGACAGCTGACAATCTTCACAGGAAAATTTACCCCAAAGGTCAGACTGTGCATTGTGCAAGACATGGGCTCCATCTCAGATTCTACAGGCCTGAGTTATGACTTTTTTGGACGCAGAAGTTGCTGCTCCTCCCCAAAAATAACAATGCAGCCTGACTTAGGTTTGGAAAGTTTCTTCTGAAGGAACCACAAGACTTCAGGAACAAAACCAGACCAAAGTAAGTATGTCTACCCATAATGAACTGCAGTAAACATCTCATCCCACTTGTCAGCACAGTGGTGGAGGGCTGATGCTTTGGGTTCCTTGAAGTCACTGAGTGGAGCCTGAACTCCTCTGTAGACCAAAGTGTTCTAGAGTCAAATGTGAATCCATTCTTCAGACAGCTGAAGCTTAAACCAAACTGGGTCCAAGAGGACAAAGATCCCAAACACAGCAGCTAATCTACAACAGAACGGGTCAAAAATAAAAGAACCAAGGCGTTACATTAGTCTGGTGTCCAGAACCTCAACCAAGCTGAAATGCTGTAGTTGGACCTTCAGAGATTGGAGCAAAAACCTAAATGAACTGAAGCAACGATGGAAAGAAGAGTGGGCCAAAACTCCTCCAGCGAGACACTGAAAAAGTCCCACAGGATACCACCGGGTTCTGCTGCTGAAGAAGGTTCTATAAGCTGCTGGATCAGTGCTGGAACGCGTTTTTCACATTCTGGTTCAGTTTTTGTTTAATAAATAACGACTTGTGGAATCTGTCATATTCAGTCAAAGTTGGATTTGTACAACTTTGGAATATTGCAAGGACCAGATCGGTTTTGTGTTCAGATACATAAAACCAGAGAGCTGAAAGGTGGACTTTTTTTTTTTAACATGGCTAACTTTTATATTTCAGCTTTTCTGTTAAGATTCCACAAAAATAAAATAAAAGCCAATATTGAATTTGTGAGTCTGAGGAACTTTAAAACTCACAAGTTGTTCAAGATCACAAAAAGCAAACCAAGATTCTCCAGGAAGTTAAAACTGAGGAGACTCAAGGGGAAGATGAAGCTGTAACGTTACCTGCTTTATCAGAATGAACACAAAGTAACAGGAAGTGACCTGGATCAGCCCAGATCAGACTGTAATCTGCTGCAGAGCTTCAGAGTAAGAAAACCAAGAAAAGACTCATGCTGAAAAGTGATTAAAACAAAAGTTACATGAACTGGAGGTCCGATCTCTGGAATCATGAGGAAGGAAACTGTCGCCACAAAAGGCTGAAACATTTACAATTAGTCCCAACAGAAAAGCAGAAGCAGGTTGGACGTACTCACCATGGAGGAATGAACGTCAATGTTACAAAGAGAGCACACGTGAGGGAACATGGAGGGAGCATCTCCCAAGAAGTCCTGGACTTTTCCACTTGACGGGGAGCCCATCCTCCTCTGCATAAAGACAGGGTCTGACAGCAGCGGCCCCGTGCCGAGTCCTCCGTAGGACGTTTGGCGGGAAAGCTCTGAATATGGCCTCTCTGCTCTCCCATCTCCAGCGCCACCATAACTAGAACCAAATCCCCGACCAGAGGAGACATTCTGCATGGAGCCGAACCCAAAGTCTGCAGAAGTTTGAGCCCGGGCCGGGCCTGGACCCAGAGGAGAGTCCCATCTGTCTCTTCCACCTTGATATGAAGCCTCTGAAGATGTCCCCCCCCTCTCTCCTGAAGCCCCCTTGCGGCTCTTGAGCCGCATGAGGATGCTTGGTAGTGTCTCCACTGTGATTTCGTCTTCAGGGATTTCAGCCAGTACATTTAGGTCGGAGGGCGTCAGCCCTAAACTGCTAAAGAGCTTCATGGCGCCGTTAAGATGGTCGCCACCTCCGCCGCCCCTCATCAGCCGTCCAGATTGCTGCTCGCTCATGTTGAAGTTTAAGGTCTTTGGAGTATATAGGAGTCACCAAACCCACAGAGAACTGTTCCTGACTGTCGCTGCCTACAGCTTCTGAGACATGAACATCAACAGGAGGTGGCAAGACAGAAGCAGGCTGCAAAGATTCTCAGTGGATGAGGAAATGTCAAAGTGAAGATGGACTCCTCTTCTTACTTCTGCTGAAACACAGTGAGGCAGAAACAACCTTCAAACAAGAGTCCAGTGAGAAGACAAAAGTGGGAGGAGCCACCTGAGCAGGTGGGACTACTGAGGAGGGAATATGAGGATGTTAAAGAGACAAAGACGTCATCACAGAGCAGTGATGGAGACCCTGTCACTGTGGAGGAGCAGGGTCAAAGGTTTCAGACCTTCATATGAATATCCTTCAAACAGACTGAGACGTTAAGAAGAAAAACTTCAACAAAAGAAGGAAGGAAGATCAGCTGCTCTGAAACTGTCCAGCTCTGAGCTTGTTTCGTACAGAAGGGAACGTTAAGATGCACTGACCACTAAAACTGTCTGAAATCTGCTTTTATCTGATAAGAAGCAAAAGAATAAATCCTCTTTAAAATATTGCTCTCAGTACATTTAACAAAAAAATTTACGGAATCCACACTGACCTAAAAAACAAGTAGTTTAGTTTGATTTTGTGTCAAAATGAAAAATGTATGAGCATTTTTAAATGGTGGATTTAAACATCTGGTTTCAACTGTAGCTGCTGATTAGTCCAACAAGTTCTAAGAATAATAGGATGTTTGCTATGCACACTATTTAATTTGTAAATATATATATATATATATATATATATATATATATATATATATATATA